ATGTTATGTGAGTGAGTAATGCTGGCAAATATCTGTAATTTAAGTGTTTTATTCCATTTTTGACATGATTTTTATGCCAGAGAGCTTTGTGGGTAAGAAGCCTTTTAAAACTATTTACCACATGAACTCTAATTTTCTTTTGGAATACATCATCTCATTAATTAAGAGGTTGAAGTCTCATTACTTCATGTCTGTCTTCACCGGATTATGTAAACAGCAACCCTGTCATTACCAGATCATATGCTATTTTTATTTTTCTAAAGATCTAGAGCTCACAGTCATTATTTAAATAGAACATTACAGAAAAGAAAAAGCAATTTGGAGCGACCTATTCTTAGCTATGTATTGAATAGATCTATTTTTCTATTAGTGTCTGTTTCAATTTATTTTTCTTGGTTTTGGTCATAGTTCAGTAATATTCAAGAGAAAGTATTATATGGTAGCTAATGTGATATAGAAGACCCATTCCTTACATGCCATTTTTATCAGCAAAAAAAAAAAAAAAGCTTCCCTTAGAAATACATTATAAATTCAAATAACAGATAACATGGGCTGTTTTTGACAGGCATATAACTTTTAGCTGCTGATCATTACCTTTAGTAATCATTAGCTTAGTTAATGAAAAATAAAATTTTTATAATATTAAAAATATGAGAAGCTAAACTATGAGCAACTAACAAATCAAAACCCCATGTTCTTCTGAATTCCTGACTCCCCCCAAATAGTTCCAAATCACTATAGTATTCGCATAGCCCTTTAATAAATTTTATGGATAAACAGTGAATTCTGTGTTCAATGTAAAATAACATAGAAATTTAGAGTTTTAGTTGCAATGTCCTATGTAAACTTTAAAAGGTTCCAAAGCAATTTTCATAAATGGGATTCCATTTTCCACAGCCAAAATACTATACCGACCCTGACCCTCATGTACTGTTACCTATGCATTTGTGTGCCATTTATTTTTAATTACAAAATTTCTCCCCTTGATTAAATTTATTGTATGCCTTTCAATATATCAAAATGATAGATTAAATGTAGAAATAAATTATTACTTACTCATAATAAAATTGAATCTTGCCCTTGGAATCATTTTCTTGTAGTTCCTTGTAGCTAAAATAGGGCTTTGATTTCAACCTTGCCCCTGACGTGCTGTGTGATGAAATCTTAGGCAAGTTACTCTACCTAAGCATCAGTTTCCCCATCTGCAAATCAGGGAAAATAATATATGTTTTCATTATTTTGAGAGTTAAATGAAATGATGTATACAAATTGTCAAATAGGACACAGCATACTCAGTACTTTATGTTTAGTGTTGTTATTTTTTATCTACAGTGTTTTTGGAAAACAGCATGATTAATCAATTGACTGGAAGAGACACAGTCTAACAGACAAAATATAGACCATTTATATTGGCCATGAAAGTGTCCGTAATGGCTGACTTAACTGGCTTTAGTGTGTAAAATATGGTGACTCCCATGGTTTTTAAGATACGGCTTTAAGTAGATATCAATTTCTTTACATTGGTCAACTATAATTTGTCCACAGATTCCACATGTAGTAATATTTTGAGATGTTAACTGTGGGTTTTTTTCCCTCCCTCTGTTTCCTTGCATTTGTTAGCTTTTACTGATCATTTAGGTAATGGTGCCTAGCAGGCCTGGGTCAGGACAGATACTACTGAGAATTCAGAAGTAATATATCTGCTTTGAGTTTCATATGAGGCTTTTTTAAAAGTCCACAGTAGAAACAATATTCTTGAAATCATAGCGTTCCTTTGCAGAAGACTCAGTATTTTGAGAGTTGACATTTTGCTAAGCCATTAAAAGCACTGAGAACCTTGAAAGAATCCATTTATACTGAAATCAAGGAGTGGGGAAGAATGCATGGGTAGAATAACAGCTCCCAAAGAGATAAAAATTGACCAGCATGCAGACAGAAAATGAAATAGGGCTAGAAGAGGTCTTGTGATTGGACAATGAAGCTGACCGTATTGACTAAACAATTGCAGGTACAGCGCAGACTCATGATGATCCTCAAAACGAGGAAGAATGGATTAGATCTCTGCAGAGGCCAGTGAGATCAGAAAACGACATTTGGTGCAGAGCAGTGTCCCTGATGACACAAGTCCGCCGGAACTTAGAACACTTCCATGGAGAAAAAAAAATGAGGAAGAGGAGAATTTTGAACCGAATATTTATCCCAAAGAGACTGAGTTTTAAACCAGAAGCATGTGTGTGAAATGCCACTAAGCAAAAGGGCTCATATTCTAAGCTAGGTTCCATTATACAGAACTAAAATTAAAAATAACTTCAATTTTCTAATTTTAGAGTTTGTAATTGTGTTGAAATATCATATCCACTAAATCATCAGGCTTTGGATATCTCAAATTTTAGTTCTTCATTAATCTGAAAGCCTCTATTATCTGAAATAGTTTCCAAGATAAGAAAAAACAGGGAAAAAAGGTTTCTTTTTCAAATAATTTTTGACTGTCATAAAATGTAAAATTGGTATATGGATTATCAAGGATATTTTAGAAAACTACATTAAAACTTACAAGCAGAGCACATTATCTTAAGCAGATTACACCTATTTTCTTCATATCTGAATTTAAAAGCAAACTTTCAAATCTATAACTCAAGGTGTTATCATTTACAAATGTTTTGAATCCCAATATAAACTTTAAAACAGTTCAGAAAACTAGAATTTTTTATAAGCGATAACTAAACTTACAAAGTATAATAACTTTTTAATATGCAAGTTACATTAAAATCTATTTATATAATCAGCATTTGGTTCTGACTTGTCTTCAGCTGAGTATACTGTGTACTCCCCACAATCTGTAGGTTTCACCATTTTCACTGTAGCTGTTTCTGAGTCATGGACCAAAGCTGATTGTGTTACAGGATAAGCTGTTTGAAGTGTTAGCCATAGTAAGCCATGCTAAGCCATCATAAAACTATTACTGTTAGACATAATAAGATTATTAATATCAGGTTTTGTATCAGCTCCACTTACTGAATTTTAGGCACATAAAAAGGTAAGGAGAAAATGGATTTACATTTTTTTTTTGATGCTGTCTGTTTGAAATTATTTAATCCTACAAATCAATATATTTTTTTATTTTATTTTTATTTATTTTTTATTATTATTATACTTTAAGTTCTAGGGTACATGTGCATAACGTGCAGGTTTGTTACATATGTATACTTGTGCCATGTTGCTGTGCTGCACCCATCAACTCGTCAGCACCCATCAACTCATCATTTACATCAGGTATAACTCCCAATGCAATCCCTCCCCCCTCCCCCCTCCCCATGATAGGCCCCAGTGTGTGATGTTCCCCTTCCCGAGTCCAAGTGATCTCATTGTTCAGTTCCCACCTATGAGTGAGAACATGCGGTGTTTGGTTTTCTGTTCTTGTGATAGTTTGCTAAGAATGATGGTTTCCAGCTGCATCCAAGTCCCTACAAAGGACACAAACTCATCCTTTTTTATGGCTGCATAGTATTCCATAGTGTACATGTGCCACATTTTCTTAATCCAGTCTGTCACTGATGGACATTTGGGTTGATTCCAAGTCTTTGCTATTGTGAATAGTGCCACAATAAACATACGTGTGCATGTGTCTTTATAGCAGCATGATTTATAATCCTTTGGGTATATACCCAGTAATGGGATGGTTGGGTCATATGGTACATCTAGTTCTAGATCCTTGAGGAATCGCCATACTGTTTTCCATAATGGTTGAACTAGTTTACAATCCCACCAACAGTGTAAAAGTGTTCCTATTTCTCCACATCCTCTCCAGCACCTGTTGTTTCCTGACTTTTTAATGATCGCCATTCTAACTGGTGTGAGATGGTATCTCATTGTGGTTTTGATTTGCATTTATCTGATGGCCAGTGATGATGAGCATTTTTTCATGTGTCTGTTGGCTGTATGAATGTCTTCTTTTGAGAAATGTCTGTTCATATCCTTTGCCCACTTTTTGATGGGGTGGTTTGTTTTTTTCTTGTAAATTTGTTTGAGTTCTTTGTAGGTTCTGGATATTAGCCCTCTGTCAGATGAGTAGATTGCAACAATTTTCTCCCATTCTGTAGGTTGCCTGTTCACTCTGACGGTAGTTTCTTTTGCTGTGCAGAAGCTTTTTAGTTTAATTAGATCCCATTTGTCAATTTTGGCTTTTGCTGCTGTTGCTTTTGGTGTTTTAGACATGAAGTCTTTGCCCATGCCTATGTCCTGAATGGTACTACCTAGGTTTTCCTCTAGGGTTTTTATGGTATTAGGTCTAACATTTAAGTCTCTAATCCATCTTGAATTAATTTTCATATAAGGAGTAAGGAAAGGATCCAGTTTCAGCTTTCTACTTATGGCTAGCCAATTTTCCCAGCACCATTTATTAAATAGGGAATCCTTTCCCCATTTCTTGTTTCTCTCAGGTTTGTCAAAGATCAGATGGCTGTAGATGTGTGGTATTAACAAATGAATATTTTAAAACCATATTTCCTGTTTGTTTTTGTTTCTAAGTATTTGACTCAATGGAACCATGAAAAAGGGGAGCACTTTTATCTGAAAGGGACAAGTTACCATTTGATTTTTGACATTTTGCCTTTCAGTGAGAAAAAATATGTTAGTCTATACTGAGTAATAATCTTAAGAGTTACATGATGTTATAACTTTAATTTAGTCACAGAATATGAATAATTTATAGAAAGAAAAGTGAACAAAATATTTTATTCATTGTATCACTCTAAAATATGTTATTTTATAACAAAGCAAAATGATTGTTACCTTCTGGACAGAAGAGAAAATGGAGTAAAATATTGGAAGCATTGAACATACAAAAACATTATTATAAATATCAATATTTATGGGCTACTGTGAAGGCAGTTGTAAAAAAAAATTTCCAATAAAAAGTTTGAAACAGACAAACATTTGAAAATATCTTAACAATTTAAATCATTGAAAATTCAAGTGTTTTTTCCCTTCTAAATTTTTACTTTATAGGGTAGCAAATGCAACATAAACAGGTATTCATGAGTATAATAAATTTTACACACTCCCAATAGTCATAGAGATTCTTGCACTATTTTTCTGTAGGCATTCCTATTGTCTGTCTACTGCTATCAAGTGTAGGGTTAGAAGGCATTTTAACAAATGGATGACTGATTTAAAAACAACAACGACAACAACAACCAAAGACATCTGTCATTAAGACAGGCCTCTGATAGTGGATGCTTGTTATTAAGAATCCAAAAGATTTTCTTAATGTTCTGTCCCGTAATTTGTGTTGTCATGGTCTGTGTTCCACACTGCCCTATGGCAATGTTATTCTTGCATTCCAATGCATTTTCTTAATTCGGCTGCAGTTTTTTCCAGTTGTTGAATGTTCCATTGCCACTGTCGTCTATTTGCCTGAAGCTTGTTCACCTGACAATGCAAACGCTTAAGAATTGCGTCATATCTCTTATGTTGTACCTATTGAAAGAAGAGCACACATCAACAGGGCTTGTGAAGTATAAATAGTAAACAGCCATAAATAATATTTTGACTGCTCTAAAGAGGAAAGCACTTAATTAGAAACTATACACTATAAATAATTATGATAAAATAAACAGTAATTGTATAACTATTTATTCAACACTTATTACATGTTAGATACTGTGCTGAGAGCTTTCTGCATATAATTAAATTCTTATAACACCATATGATACAGGTATTATTATCCTCATTTTTGTGTGAAGAAACCAAAGATAAAAGAGTTCAAGTAATTTGACCAAAGTTTCATAGCTAGCAGGTGATAGAGTTTGGGAGTTGAGCTGAAGTGAAGTATCCATAATGGAATGTCTTCTTGTTAAGAGAGTTACCAGTGTTGAACTAAATTTGTCCTGGGGGACTCTACTTTGAGTCCCTATGTGAGGAACCACAACCTAACAGTATTTAAACTAACTGAAAGCCTAACTAGGAGTACATTTTTGTAACAATAGCTGAGACTCAGTCCACCACAGCAGGCAGCTTTGGTCAATCACAGGTGGTCCGCTGATCACACCATATTCAAATAAAACAGACATTGAGCTGTAACCAATCAAACTCTTTCTGCACCTCATTTCCATTTCCTGTCCATAAATGTTGCCTGCCCACTTTGTGAAGTGGAGCTCTCTGAACCTCTGCTGGTTCTGAGGGCTGCTGGTTCTCTCATCATTCTTCTATTAAGCTCTGTTAAATTTAATTTTATTAAATTTAAATTTGTCTAAAGTTTTAAATTTATCAAATTTATTTAAAGTTTTTCTTTTAACATCAGTTAAGAAAAATGGTTCCATTTCCCATTTCCTGTATCCAATGATTCACTGAAACATAGATCATTCGGTCTAAAAGATCCAGGAGATCATGTAGTCCATTTCCTTGCTATTAAATAAACCATCATTTATGCTGAGCCAGGCGAGGATACACTGGAAGGCAATGAAGCACAGTGGAAAGTGCTTCATTGGTCTTGGTGTTGGGCCACAAGAACACTCAATCTTTTTAAAAAACAGTTTTATGGAAATATAATTCACATACCATATAATTCATCCTTTAAAGTGTACAACTCAATGGCTTTTAGTATATTCACAGAGTTGTACAACTGTTACAGACCACAGGTTCTTGGACTCTCATGTAACAGAAATTGACAAGTTTCCCAAACAAGGCTTTTATTGGGGGCTTATGTTTGAACACAATGGAGACAGTGCATGAGCAAGAGTTAGCTGGCTGGCTTTCCAAGGGCAGGTCTTTGTGGTGTTTTTAGGAAAGGTGACAGGAATGTGCATGGGGTATGGGAGTATCATTACAGTGCATGGTGGAGCGCAGAGTGTGCAGGCACAGTGAGAAATCATGCTAGCATGTACATTGCATGATCAAAATATGATGGATAAGCTCTTCCCTGGGTGAGGCTTTTAGTATTATAATGAGGCATGGGGTAAAGATCAGCCATTCTTCTGGTCTTGTGCACAGGCCTGCAATAAGGCTAACGCCCTTGAGTAAGGTTTACAGTGGGATGCTGCTTATCTCTGTTTCAAGAGGTATCTTGTGGTCAGCAGGGATGACCCCAATGGATGGGTTGGTGCAAGGTCTGGTAATGGGTGGGTATGGAAAAAATGTATTAGTAGGGGTGGGGGCCAAATCATGGTGAGGGCTAAATTCCATTCTCTACTCTGTTTCACAACTATAATCACAATCAATTTTAAAACATTTTCATCAACTGGTACCCATCAGCAGTCATTCCCTATTGAGTTGGTTCCACTTTCTGGCTATTATAAATAATACTGCCATGAACACTTGTCTGCAAGATTTTGTGTGAATATATGTTTTCACTTCTCAGGTATACAGTGAGGAGTAGAATTACTGGGTCATATGATAAGTCCATGTTTAACCATTTCAGGAACTGCCAAGCTGTTTTTCAAAACGACTGTATAATTTTACATTCCAGTGTAACTTTACACACCAGTAATGTGTGAAGGTTCCAATTTCTTCACATCCTTGAAAATACTTATTATCTATGTTTTTGGTCATGGCCATCGTTAAAATAAAAACTTCAGCCAAATTAAATTTAAAGAGTTTAATTGAGCAATGAATGATTCACAAATTGGGCACTCCCCAGAATCAGAGCAGATTCAGAGACTCCAGGGGTGCCTCGGGGTCAGAAGAAATGTATAGACAAAAAAAGTAAAGTGAGGTATAGGAATTGGAAGTGAGGTACAGAAACAGCAGGATTGGCTACAGCTCTGCGTTTGCCTTATTTGAACACAGTTTGAACACTCAGCAGTCTAGGAGTGGCTGAAGTATGGCCGCTGGGATTGTCCAACACTCAGCTGTTGTTACAGACACATACTCGTAAGTTGGGTTTTCAATCTTGTCTAAGAAGTATGGAGTTCTTCTCAGGCCATATTTAGTTTGCTTTAACACCATGCTCGTGGATGTGAAGTGGCATCTCATTATAGCAAAACATCTACTTTTAAATGGACTGATAAAATGATAGAATAATAGGGCTGAACAAGTTATCTATTCACAGGTAGTATGTGCAGTATTCCATTATATAAACATACCACAATTTATTTTTCCATTCTCCTTTCTAGGGATATTTGTGATGTTTCTGTTTAGAGACTTTTGTCAATAAAGCTACTATAAGAATTCATATACAAGTTTTACAAGTTTTTTAAGGCATATTTTTTTCATTTTTCTTGAGTAAACACCTAGGTGGAGAATTGTTTGTACAGTAGGTATATGCTAACTTTTTAGGAAACTCTCAAACTGTTTTTCCAAAGCAGTTGCACTATCTTATAATCTCCCCAGCAGTGCATGATCTTGGCTGTTGTTTCATATCCTTAGCAACATTTGGTATTAATATTCATTGGAAATTTAATCATTCTAGGGGTAAAAACGTGTGAATAGTATCTCATTGTGGTTTTGATTTATGTTTCCTTGGTGTTAAGGGTGTTATACATCTTTTCATGTGTTTATTGGTCATACTATGTCTTCTTCTGTTAAGTTCTGTTCAAATCTTTAGCCCATTTTTTAAAAAATGACTGTATGACTTTATTATTGGCTGATAGGAATTCTTTCTTTATACGTCCTGGATACAAGTCCTTTGTGCATATACGTGTGTTGCAAATATTTTTACTTTTGTGATTTTCTCTTTTCATTTTCTTTTGTTGTTGTTGAAGTGGGGAGGTCTCACTTTGTTGCTGAGGCTGTACTGCAGTGGCATGATCACAGATCACTACAGCCTCGACCTCCTGGACTCAAGTGATCCTCCCACCTCAGCCTCCTGAGTAGCTAGGACCACAGGTGTGCGCCATCACACCTGACTAATTTTTTTATTTGTACAGACAAGATCTTACTGTATTACCCAGGCTGGTCTTCAACTCCTGGGCTCAAGACATTCTCCTGCCTCGGCCTCCCAAAGTGCTGGGATTATAGGCATGAGCCACTGTGCCCAGCCCTTTTCATTTTCTTAATGGTGTCTTTCAAAGAGTAAAAGTTTCAAAGTTTGAGGTCTAACCTATCAATATTTTTCACTTATGGTTAGCGAAGTTTGTGTACCAAGAAATCTTTGCTAACCCAACATAATGAAGATATCCTCCTATAGTTTCTTCTGGAAGGTTTAGAGTTTTAACTTTCACATTGAGATCTATGATCCATTTCAGATGAATTTTTGTGTTTGTTGTGAGGTGGAGATACAGGTTCATTGTTTCCTCACCGATATCCAGTTGTTTCAGCACCACTTGTTGATAAGACTTTCCTTTCTTCATTGAATTGCCTTGAAAACTTTGTCAAATTGACAAAATAGGATTAATTTCTGAACTCCATTCTGTTCCATTGGTCTATTTATTCTTTTACCAATACTACAGTTACTTGATAAGTATAGCTTTTTAATAAATCTTAACATCAGGTAGATTAGGTCCTACAAATTTATTCTTCTTTTATAAGGTTGTTTTGGCTACTAGATCCTTTGCATTTTCACTTAAATTTTAAAATTAGCTTATCAATTCCTGGAAAAAATACTTAGTGGGATTTTTATAGAACAATGTTGAACCTATACATCATTCAAAGGGAAAGTTGACACTAATAATATTGTGTTTTCTAAACTATGAACATAGAATATCATTCCATTTATTTAGTATCTTTAATTTCTCAGCAATTTTTATTGTAGTTTTGCACATTTTTTCACAAAATTCATTAGCAAGTATTTTATGTCATTTAGTGTTAATGAATAAAGTTTTGTTTTATTCATTTTACTTCCTTGTTGTTTATTGCTACTACACAGAAACTACATAAACATGTAACTGATTTTTGTATTTTGACCTTTTATGCTATGAGCTTTCTAAATTCACTTACTGGTTCTATTAGTCTTTTCTATTCCTTAAGATTTTCTACATAAACAATTATGCTATCTGTGAATAATGACAGTTTTACTTTTTTCTTTCCAATCTTTATGCCTTGTATTTATTTTTTTCTTATAACATTGATTAGGACTTCCAGAATAATGATGCATAAAGGAGGTGATACCAGACATCTTTGCCTTGTTCCCAATCTTAGGGGAGAAAGCATTCAACATTTCACCAGTAAGTACGATATGTTGTTAGCTATAAGGTTGTTTTTTAAAAATAAATTCCCTTTATCAAGTTGACGAAGTTTCCTTCTATTCTTAATTTGCTGAGATGTTACTCTCAGAAAATTTGTTACCCTCTGAAAATTTGTTGAGAGTGTTGAATTTTGTCTAATGCTGTTTCTGAAACTATTAAGTTGGTTATATCTTTTTTACTTCTGTCATTTTGTCACTACAGTAAATTACATCATTTGATTTTTGAAAGTTGAACCAGCCTTGTATTCTTAGGATAATCCCGCTTGGTTGTAATGTACTAGACTTTTGCTATATTGCTAAATTTAATTTGCAAGTATTTTGTTAGAGACTTGCATCTATACTCATGAGGGACATTGGT